ATATATAAATATGAAGAATAAATTTTATGCATAGTGTTTTTGCAAATTAAAAAAGCATTGCTCTCTGTGTGGGTCATTTTTGACGAATTGAATCATGAATCTTGTAGACAACGGCTGACAAAAAAGTAGTAGTGGCCTTTTCCCAGCTTTTTCTCAAAGAATGGAATTATAACACATAAAGTATTCCTTTAGGAAAGTCGTACAGCTTTGTGGTCTTGCAGAAAAAAACCTTACATAGGCTAAGGTTAAACTTAACTGGATGTAGCAACACAGCCTTTGGGCCTGGTCTTGGAGATTGGTTATGAGGGTCACAGAACAATTAAAACCCTCGAAATCCGCTTCTTGGAAGCTCTAGGATCTACTTTTATAATTTCAATGATGAATTATATAAAAAGGCAAATATTACGAAGCTTTCGAAAAAAACAAAAAGTTGTAGTGTCCAGAGCTGAAAATATTCTTAAGAACTTAAGATACAAATTTAAAATGACAAAATGATGATTAAGAGTGACCGTGTCCTAATTTGGCACTATGAGAAAAGGCCAAATAAACAATAAAGTACTATCTAATAACAATGACAAGAACACACATTACTTCTTCAACTATCGTTCACCAGGTATACCCTGAGAAAAAAAAACTTGCATCTAGCGCTCTACACTACATTTAGACACCCTGTTGAAGCAGTGCATATATCAATAATTTTTGCGACTATTTTTTCACGGTTTTGGCGAAGTTCTAATTTTAGTATCGTAATTATACTGTTTGGGTGCTGTTGTGGGTTTGAGACCAATTGTAGTTTGGATCTAGGTTAGACCACAAAATGGTAGTAAACTGGATATCCGAAGGTGGATGAGCAACGATTTTTGATAAAAAAATATAAGAATGCGAAAAAATCATTTATCCACTCTCCTAAAATAGGAAATATCATGTCTATTGGCACATACAATTAGCAAACACTGACCGTATGAAAATGATTTAGGTAATAATTATGTAGGATTTTTTGATAGAAGAGCAGTTTTGCTTTTCTTTATTAATTGGTTGAGGAAGAATACTTCATATGCACACCAGTTCATTCTTGTGCAGAGGCAATTAAACTTACTGAAAGAACAGCACTTGAAGCCATATCAAATATGTATATATGTATAGATTAAAAGTCCTTATTATAAAAAAAGGATGTGGGCAATTATCTGTACATGTAACTGATTAGATTAGCCAACCATGCGAATGAGATTGTAATTATAGCTAATAACATTTGTGGCACATATGTGACATAATTGGAATGGGTCGGTGGCGGTGGTGGTTGAGGTAAGGTTAGATGTTGATCACCAGAAATTGTAGCAACGGAACATAGTGAGTGCCTTCTATAAAACGAAATGACTAGTTTTAAATAAATTTAGAATAATTTCATCTTCTTACCCTGTTTGTGGAGTTCGATTCATGCTTCGAGAGGTAATGTCTCCATCGGCGTCAAAAACTGCCTTCTTTGCCTTTTCTCGTTGTGCTCGTTCTCGTTCAGCCAATTGCCGAGCATCTGTAATTTATTTCTAGTGAGAACACTAAAATTAACCTCATTAGATTTTTTCCGGTGGCGTGTTCGCTTTGTACGTCTTAATGTTAGATTTCTGCACTTCTACCAAATGTAGCCTATTTTCAGGAAAAAGTGCGCGTTGTTTAGGTGTTCCTCTCCTCCACCCTAAGAGGAAAAGGCTAATATTAGTCTTTTACCCAGCTTTCAATGACTTCTTTAACATTTTCCTTACGAGCATGTTCCTCTCTTACATTTGATAGTTCTCGGTTTTCAGTTGTGGTATTTTTTCTCTTACTTTTGACCGCCTTCGACTCAATCCCAATATTTTGCAAACTGAAAAAATAGGCAGAGAATGAACTCAAATTAACTCTAGAGGGTTGTACTCAAGTAGCTTTGTTCCTTATGTCTTCCATGACAAAAAATGATGCGCTTTCATAGCGAATTGTAAATTATCAAGTCATTTAGTCAGCAAGAATTCTTTCAGACAGTTTCTAGCTTGAGGTCATTAGGTGGAAGACTATATACGTCCAGGGGTGGCGCGC